GTGTGGCGTCTCTCCCCATGCCTGGGCTGGCGAGGCCGAGTCCCCCAGCCTGCAGCCTCCCCCGTCTGACAGGCGAGAGGGTGGCGTCCTCGGTTGGACTGGCAGCTCCCAACTGTGAGGGAGGACTGGTCCTTTCCCAGTGCGGTTTGTTGGTGTCCTTTGCTTCTTTGGGCTCTTCTGTGGGTGGCCGATGCCTCCCCCAGTTTGTCATCTCTTTTATAACTGTGTTGGTGGCGTGTCTGCCCTGCGGACTCCCAATTTTCCCGGTGTTGAATTCCACAGCCATGTTTCTTGTGGCTCCTGGATTTTGTTCTTCCTGCAGCGTGGCTGAGCGAGGGGCTTGGAGGGGTCGCTGGGGGTCCCGGAGCTGAGCTGAGTGCCGCTGGCAGCACTGGGCAAGTGTCCAGGTGAGGTGCCCTGGGAGGCCCCAGGCCCGGGACCCAGGACCCTCTAGATGTCGGAGATGGGACAACAGTTTGCACACCCGCCGTGTGCGCCCCTGCCCTCACTGCAGGGACAGACAGGAGCTGGGTCTCAGGCTGCTGGGCAGGCCTGGGCCCTGTGGTTTTGCCCACCAGCCTTGGCAGCGTGAGTGAGTTGTGTGGCCAGTACACTGTGACGGCTGCCGCCCACCTGCCAACATCTGGGCCATTGGTTCACAGCATCTCTGTTGCCCAGGAGGGCTCATGAGGTGCAGCCGTGTGCTGCTGGGCAGCGATGTGTGCCAGGGGCCGTGTGCAGCTGCAGCTGGTGCCGTGTGTACTTGCTTTCAGTGCTGACTTCAGGGCAGCATCAGTGTTCCGGGGAAGTGGGGGATGATATTTAGCCAATCGCAACCAGACTCTGCCAGCACGTGCCTCAGTGCACGCAGTTACCGCCGCTGCTGCTGGTCACATTTGTTTACATTCTCTCATTCTGGAAAAATGCTGGCCAGGTGCGGTGGCTCACACCTGTAACCCCAGCTCTCTGGGAGGCCGAGGTGGGCAGATTGCTTGAGCCCAGAAGTTCAGGACCAGCCTGGGCAACATGAGAAGGCTCCGTCTCTACAAAAAATACAAAAAGTGGCTGAGTCTGGTGGAGTACGCCTGTGGTCCCAGCTCCTCCAGAGGCCGAGGCGGGAGGATCACCTGAGCCTAGGAGGCAAAGGCTGCAGTGGGCCATAATTGCACCACTGCTCTCCAGCCTGGGCAACAGAATGAGACCCGATCTCAAAAATAAAAATTCTGGCCGGGCCTTGTGGCTCACGCCTGTAATCCTAGCACTTTGGGAGGCTGAGGCGGGTGAACCATCTGAGGTCAGGAGTTCGAGACCAACCTGGAAAACATGGTGAAACCCCCTGTCTACTAAAAATATAAAAAAATAGCCGGGTGTGGCGGCGCGTGCCTGTAATCCCAGCTACTTGAGAAACTGAGGCAGGAGAATTGTTTGAACCCGGGAGGCAGAGGTTGCAGTGTGCCGAGATTGCACCACTGCACTCCAGCCTGGGCAAAAAGAATGAGACACTGTCTCAAAAAAATAAATGAATAAAAATTTTAAAAAGATAAAAATTCCAAGGCGCTCCTGTTTGTGCAGTGTTTACCTGAAGGACTCACACTTAGGTCTCTGGAAATGAATTGCATCGCTAAGGTCTCTGTGAAACAAGATAAACGAAAAAGGGTCATCTGAAATGCTGTGATTTGTAACTAAACTCTTTAAGTTTTTTTTTTTTTTTTCCTGAGACAGTGTCTTGCACTGTTGCTCAGGCTGGAGTGCAGTGGCCCAATCTCGGCTCACTGTAGCCTCCACATCAGCCTCCTGAGTCCTGGGACTACAGATGTGCGCCACCACACCCAGCTAGCTGTTTGTTTGTTTGTTTGTTTGTTTGTTTGTTTGTTTTTGAGACGCAGTCTCACTCTGTTACCCAGGCTGGAGTGCAGTGGCGCGATCTCTGCTCACTGCAACCTCAGCCTTCCAGGTTCAAGCGATTCACCTGCCTCAGCCTCCCGAGTAGCTGGGATTACAAGCATGTGCCATCATGCCCAGCAAATTTTTGTTTTTTAGTAGAGATGAGGTTTCACCATGTTGGCCAAGCTGGTCTTGAACTCCTGAGCTCAGGTGATCCGCCCGCCTCAGCCCTCAACAGTGCCTCTGTCTGTACTTTGTGTAGAAACGGGGTCTTGCCATGTTGGCCGATCTCGAACTCCTGGTATCCTCCTGCAGTGCCTGGCAGCTAAGTTCTTTAATGAATAAGATTTGCATTGTGAAGTTTTTCCATTCTTGGAGAAGGCCTGGCCAAGGGTGCTGAAGGTACAGAAGCCGGAGAGGTTCCCACCAGGACAAGGGAAGGGCTGGGCCTCACCCCCAAAGTCAGATCTGGAGCAGGGGCGGTGCTGGCGTGGAATGCAGTCCTGGAGCTGTTCCACTTGTACCCACACTCCCGCGCCCATGGGTCCCTCTGCGTGGTGCCAGGTCTTGAGGAGACTGTCCTGTGCTGGGGTTTGGAGTCTGCTGGTGCTGTTGTCCATCTTCCTTTTCCTTTGGCAGCTGGTTGTTGGGGGCCACTTTTACAAATGTACTTCCTTTAGCAGGTGTGGTGGTGTGTGTCTGTGGTCCTAGCTACTCAGGAGGCTGAGGGAGGAGGATAACTGGAGCCCAGGAGGTGGAGGCTGCAGTGAGCTGTGATCAAACTACTGCGCTCCAGCCTGGGCGACAGAGCAAGAGACCCTGTCTCCATTAAAAAAAGTGTTTCCTGGCAGCACATGCCGCTGCCTAGAATGCTTCTCCACCAGCTTGGTTTTCTCCCACCGCCCCCTCCCGCAGGGAGCTCACTCCAGTGGGTGGGTAGGTCTGTGGCCCTCTTGTTGGGAGGGCTCCCGTTCGTGTGTGTTGGTCAATGAATGACCCTCCCCACCACATCCAACACAGTATGGGGCTGTCAGAAGTCAGGGGCCTGGGGGCACAGAGAGGAAACAGAGAAGGCAGGGCACCCTTTACGGGGCTGGGAAGAGAGAGGGCCTCCATGACCGTGGGGAGCATAAGTGTCTCGGGAAGCCCCATCCACACCTGCCACCCTCTGAAACGTTCAGTCGCACCTGCAGAGTCCCTGCTGCTCTGCAAGGTGGCCTAAGCACAGGTCCTGGGGTCAGGACCCTACGCCCCTGGGCAGTCCGGATCGTCTCTGCCCTGCGGCAGCCGGGTCTACGTGGTGAGTCGCCTGCTGGCTGCATGGGGCCTGTGAAGCCGTCAGTGCTGGGCAACCTGCATGGAGCCGATGGTGGTGGCTGATCTACCCCGAGGAGGGCGGAGGGCTGGCCTCTCTCTGGCCTCGGATTTGCTAGACTTGAACAAGTTCCTCGCCTCTTGGCTCTGGGATTCCTGGAGTCTGAGCAGCGGCTCTCTCACCCCCACACTGAAGCTCAGTGTTCAGGTCCTGCCTGGTTTTTGGTGTGCCAAGGGGTACAGGCTACTGTCTGGGCGCTGCTGCCTGTGAAGCAGATGTTTCCAGCTGTCCTCCCCGGCCACGGCTGAAGTCCCCTGTGGCCGCACCACCTCTGCATGGCCCGGACGTAGCACTGCGCTTCCGACGGAGACCTCCCTGGAGCCCCTGCCCCAGAGTGGGGTTTTCATGCCACAGTACTGCCTTTGAAAGTGGCCTCTGCTCCACGGTTTCCTTTCTGTAAGTGCTGGAGGATCTGTGTAGATCCCCCTTCATCTGCGAATCGGTCCCGGGGGGCCCACACCCACTGGGGCTCAGGATCTGCGTAGATTCCCTGTTCATATGTGAGTCAGTTCCGGGGGCCCACACCCACCGCTCTCCTGGGGCTCAGGTCTCTATAGCCCCTCTGGCTCCAGGCTCGGGAAATTGTCCCCCAGAGGCTGTCTTCACTGGGGACAGATGCTTAGGCCTCTCCTCCTCCTGGAATGGCCAGTGCTGGCCCAGGAGTGGTCGGGTGTGGTGGGGACACGTGGGCCTTTGGGGCTGCGGGAGGCGGCTGTGCCCTGTGGAGAACCAGTGGGGAATGTGGGTTGGGAGAGGCCAGTCTGGGTGAGGGAGAAGGGGGTGGGGAGGAGGCTGGTGACGTGATCTGGCCCCGGGGTGGGGGGTGGGGGGCAGGCTGGAAGGAGGGAGAGCTGCTGGCCACTGCTCTGTAGCCGCGTGGACCACCCCGTGCATTGGGCTGAGCCACGTAGAGAGCCCTGAGCCTTCTATGTGGCCATGGACATTGCTGCTCTGCACTCTGCCTTCCTGTCCTCATCTGCACAGGCGGCGGGCGCTGGCACCCTGTCCATGAGACCTTGCAGAGGGGACATGAGATAAGCCATGAAAACCCACTAACACAGGGCTGTGGGCTGCACGCTCCTGTCCCTCAGAGCCTGACTGGCCCCATGTGGCCGAGCCAGGGACCCCGTGTGTCCCGTGACTGCAGGCCCAGGCAGCGCTGCCTGCGGGCTCTTGCAGAAGAAACAGCCCTGCGGTTGATCCTATCTCCAGCCCCAGGCCGGGAGCTCATCAGAGGCCTCCTGGGGCTGTGGAGGTGGCAATCAGGCTGACCGCCTCAGTATCTCAGGACAGAGTGGTGCTCAGGATGACAGGAGCAGCACCAAACCCGCATGGGTCTGTCCCTACCTGGTGACGCAAGCCAGTGCCTGCCTCGGGTGTCTGTTTCCTAAAAAAGCAGGTGTCGCCTCGGCCCTCCTGGTCTCTGTGAGTCGGCCTCCTCCAGGGCCCTCCCAGGTCTTTTGTGTCTGGTGTCTCTCAAAGGGTGCAACGTCCCCAGGGCATGTCCGCGCTGTGGCCTGGGTCAGAGCCTTGCTCCTTTCATGGCTGGGTTGTGTTCCGGCGTGTGGAGGGCCGCGCTGGTTCGTCCCTCACTTGTTGATGCGTATGTAGGATTTTGCCATGTTTTGGCTGTTACGAATTGTGCGCGTGTGAGGATTTGTGTACCAGTTCCTGTGCCTTCCCCGTTCTCCTGGGTATGTATCTAGGAAGTGCTGGGTCCCCTGGTAACAGTGGGTTTCTCTTCCTTAGACATAACTTTATCATCACTTAATGTCAGTAGCAGAATGGTACACAGCTTTCATCACTGACAGAGTCTCTGTGTTTAATGGTTGAGGAACTTACCTGCCAAAGAAGTCACCAGGGACTGGGGAGAGGGATGGGGAGTGAATGTTCCATGGGGACAGAGTTTCAGTTTAGGAAGATGAGAAAGTTCTAGGGATGACGGTGGTGGTGGCTGCACAACCATGGGAACGTGATTAACGCCACTGAACTGTCCTTTTTTTGTTTTTTTGTTTTTGTTTTTGTTTTTTTGAGATGGAGGCCTGCTCTGTCACCCAGGCAGGAGTGCAGCGGCACAGTCTCGGCTCACTGCAAGCTCCTCCTCCCGGGTTCAAGCGATCCTCCTGCCTCAGCCTCCCGAGTAGCTGGGATTAAAGGCATGCGCCATCATACCCGGCTAATTTTTGTATTTTTAGTAGAGACGGGGTTTCACAACATTGGCCAGGCTGGTCTCAAATTCCTGACCTCGTGATCCACCCACCTCGGCCTCCCGAACTGTTGGGATTACAGACGTGAGCCGCCGCACCCGGCCGGAACTGCACACTTAAACGTGGTCAAGGTGGTAAACTTTCGGTAAATTTTTTCACTTTTTTTTTTTTTTGAGACAGAGTCTTGCTCTGTCACCCAGGCTAGAGTGCAGTGGCATGATCATAGCTTACTGCAGTCTGAAATTCCCAGCCTCAGGCGATCCTCCAGGCTCAGCCTCCCAAGTAGCTGGGACCACAGGTGCGTACCACCACACTTGAGCCCAGGAGGTGGAGGCTGCAGTGATCCGTGATTGTGCCACCTGGGCAACAGATGGAGACCCTGTGTACAAAAAGAACCACTGTATTTACAGACCAGCAGCCTGCACATGGCCTCGGGCTGTGGTTTGCTGGCCCTGGTAGAAAGAGCGTTGTTTCTAGGCTACCTTCTATCTCCATTGCCTATACGGACCTTCACTTTGTTCTTGTGCAAACCCCCTTCCTGCCTCGGGCTGTGCATCTCTCTCTGGAACGTTCTTTGCCGGTCTCCTCACTGCCACTTTTCTTCACGCCTCAACATAAACGCCGCCCTCTTAGAGGGGCCTTCCTGGTTTGGCTGAGCCTGGTCCCGTGTGGGCTCTGCATGGGCCCCTGGATGTTACCTTGGCTGTAGCTGAATGCAGATGTGGCTTGTCCACAGGAGGCTGATGTCCCCGGAGCCGTGGCCTGGTCTACCTGGGCCTGGACCCACATGGCTGACTCGGGGTCTGTGCATGGCCAGCTCTTGCACACTGCCTTAGAGCTGGTGTGGTTTGTCGAACCCCCTTGCACACGTACACGCACGTGGGTCCCCGTGGCGCCTCGAGACATGGAGGCTGCCCACGCTCAGGGAAGAGTCCTTGCTGGGACCTCCAGGATTCTTCCGAGCCCCCGCCTCCCTACCGGAGCCTCCAGGGCAGAAAGCCCCTTTCCCGGGCAGGAGGACAGGGTGTGGGATGTACTGGCTGGGAGGGTCTGTCAGCAGCAACTGAGACCAGGGTTAGGGGAGCCTCACCCAGAATGAGGCTGGGGCTGGCAGGAGGTCCCCACAGAGGAGGCAGGAGGAGCCCACAGTCACTCTGGCTCCCAGGGCCTGGAGGTGCAGGTGAGCCCGTGGTCCCCGGGCGACTGGCCCTGCCCCACTGACTTCTCCTGCCCTTTCCGCCACAGGCTAACCTTGCCGCAGGCCGAGCCCTGCCTCGCCATGGACCAGGACTATGAGCGGCGCCTGCTCCGCCAGATCGTCATCCAGAATGAGAACACGATGCCACGCGTGAGTGCCCCTTCCCCGCCCACCACTGTGGCTCCCCCTCCCCCAGCTGCCTCTGCCCTGGCCAGCAGCCTCGGGCGCTCCCACTGTTGCTAGAGCCCCACGAACCACTCAGGTCCCAGTTCCTCAGGTCACACGGGGCCTCCGCCTCCCGGGCTGTCGGGGTTGCCGCCACCCCCAGGGCCGTAGTCAGAGCCCAGCGGGGCTTAGATGAACGAGGAGGCTAAAGGCCCAGAGTAGTGGAGCTGGGGTGGCCTGCAGAGCCTTTGGGGACACCCGTTCCTGTCTTCTAGCCCCAGGTGCATCTGGAACCCTGTGGGATTTGGGGGCCTGGCTTTGTCCTTCCTTGCGCTCCATCCCTCCTCCCCAGCCCAGCTGTGTTTGTCTTGCCCTGCGCTCCGGGCACTCCACTGGCCACACAGGGTCTCGGGGCTGGCACTTGGGGCTGGCGCCTGCTGTATGACAGCCACATCCCTCACCTGCCTTCCCACGCGACTCCTGCCGGGGGCTGAGGGGCCAGACTCCCGTTGCCGTCTATACAACACGAAGCCTGGGTCAGAATAGCATGAGGCTTAGCCTGGACGGCCACCAGCCCCTCCCCGTGACAGACGCCTGAGCCATCATTCTCAAAGACTAAGTTGCCATCGTCCCGAGTCCCTCCCCCATGGGCTGCTGACCTGCACAGATGGGTCTGAGGGGCATGGGCCTCTGGGGAGGGGCTCCCTCAGCACCGGCACCCTCTGTGCCCAGGCATTGGGTGGGCCTGGGGCAGGCTCACCTTCAAGGCTTAGTTCAGCTTCAGACCCCAAAGCCTGGGTCCCAGGACCTGCGGGAGCCCACCACAGCTGCCTTCGCCCCTGTGCAGCGCAGTCCCCACAGGGCAGAGTCAGGGAGGCGGATCTGGGATCCTGCGTGGTGTGGCAGGGTCCCCGTTGGTGAAGGGACAGGGCCACTGCAGAAAAAAAGTGGCACAGAATTAGAGGGGTCTTTGCAACCTCAGGGATTTCAGAGAGAGAGGCACGAATACAGGGGTATCTGTGTGCACAGACAGGGTCTGAATACACGGGTATCTGTGTGCACAGAGAGGGTCTGGGCACCACAGCGCCGAGCAGCCCTAGTGCTGGCCCTCGACCTCCAGAGCGCTCTCGGGGCTGCCCAGAGGACAGTGGGAGCCTGAGCGCCCTGTGTGCCTGCAGGCCCAGCAGTGCATGGGAGGGTGGGGCTCAGTGCGAGGACCCAGCACCCTCCACCCAGTGCACTTCGAGTTTCACAGACGCAGCCAGGCCAGGGTGTGAACGGGAGATGGGTAAGGAGCGGGCATTTGCAGTGTGGGAGAGCTCCCCACACACCCGGCCCGCCCTGCAGTCACCCAGCACAGCCTGGACTGTATGACACAGAACCACCTTCAGACCCAGACGGAGTGCCAGGCTGTGGAGAGACAGCCCTGGAACCCTCCAAAGTGTCAGGGCCATGACAGCGTCACAGGCTGGGGGCAGGGAGATATGACAACAGACGGAACTTTATCCTACATAAGCCTGTGTTTCCTGGGGCTCCACCAGAGAGGCCGCAGACAGGGCCTACGCAGCACTCGCAGAACCTCTCCCAGTCCTGGGGAGCAGGAGTCGGGGATCATGGTGTGGGCAGGGCCACATTTCCCCTCAAGGCTCCAGGGGATGACCCTTCCCGCCTCTCCCAGCTTCTGGAGGCTCCTGCTATCCGTGGCTGTGCCACATCACGCTGGCCCCTGTGTCCGTCCCGGAACCGTCTCCCTGTGTCTTTGTGTTCGTGTTTCCCTCTTTCTCTGAGGACACTTGTCCTCAAATCAGGCCCATCCTAATGGCTTCCTCTTGGGTATAATCACCTCTGCAAGAAAGTCGTGTCCACACAGAGTCCCATTCCCAGGTAGCAGGGCTCAGGATTTCACACTATCCTCTTTGGGACACTGGTCAGCTCATAACAGACTCCTCATAGAAAGGGATTTCATCATCCTCTTTGGGACACTGGTCAGCTCATAACAGACTCTCATAGAAGAAGGGTGGCACGGGACAAACAGGATGGGGTTGGAGGGTTAGACGGCTGTTGTGTGGCTGGGACAGTCAGATGGGGTTGAGGGTTAGATGGGTGTTGAGGGCGCGGGACAGTCAGATGGAGTTGGAGGGTTGGGTGTTGAGTGGCGCGGGGACAGTTAGATGGGGTTGGAGGGTTAGGACGGTATTGTGGGTGGTGCGGGGACAGTCAGATGGGGTTGGAGGGTTAGACGGGTGTTGTGGGTGGTGCGGGGACAGTCAGATGGGGTTGGAGGGTTAGACGGGTGTTGTGTGGCGTGGGGACAGTCAGATGGGGTTGGAGGGTTAGACAGGTGTTGTGGGTGGCAGGAAATGGGGATGAGGGGACCACACTCCCAGGTGGTTCTGGGCACAGCTGTTCTATGTCTTGTGCCGTGAAGGCTTGCATCTTTTAGAAACAGTGAATGTGTGGCATCCGTGCAGCGCTGGGAGGGCAGTCAGGGTCTTGTGCTCCCTTGCTCTGTCCCCTCTGCCATGTCCCCCATTCCTGCCATTCCATCCCGTCCCATGGCCCTGCCCTCTCCACCCTCCTGCCTGGCAGCGTTGGGAGGCCGAGCCTGCCCGTGGGCCTGGCACCTCCTGGAGGCTTCTGGCACATAAATCCCTGACCAAGAGTGACTGTGTGGCTCCACTTGGGTTTGCAAGATCAAAGCCCTCTTTGCTCAGTGGCAGGGGCTCTCAGTGCTGAGAACAGGCCCTCCGCTGATGCCCTTCAGGTCACGGAGATGCGGCGGACCCTGACGCCTGCCAGCTCCCCCGTGTCCTCGCCCAGCAAGCACGGAGACCGCTTCATCCCCTCTAGAGCCGGAGCGAACTGGAGCGTGAACTTCCACAGGATCAACGTGAGGGGCCGGCCGGGCAGGAGATGGGACCCCCCGGGAGGCCCAGGGCCCCTCCTAGCCTCCTTGCTCTAGAGCCAGGAACAAGCAGGCACCTCAACCCCTCCCTCTCTGCTCTCCTCCCTGCAGGAGAATGAGAAGTCTCCCAGTCAGAACCGGAAAGCCAAGGACGCCACCTCAGACAACGGCAAAGGTTAGGGTCCCAGCCCATCCGCCCTGCAGGCCCCCACCCTGCCCTGCCCCACCTCACCGCACTGTGCTTGGTGCCCGCAGATGGCCTGGCCTACTCCGCCCTGCTCAAGAATGAGCTGCTGGGTGCTGGCATCGAGAAGGTGCAGGACCCGCAGACCGAG